AAAATGCCATGCAAGCACGCATTTCTTAGTGTTAACGTTTTAGTAGCTTCCCCTAAAATAAACTTATTTAAAAAGGATATTTGTATTTGTTCATCTGGCCAGTCATTCACGTTTTCTATTAACCCCCACCACGCTACTGCTGCAGCACTGTCAAAGCTTCGGCTCTCTGCACACCAATGTGACACCATACAGTATCTCTCATTTCTTCTGACCAGGGCTAAGGTTTTTCAAATAATACGAGGACCCCGAGTGTTTGCAGGATTACACATATTCTTTATTTTAATGAATCTTCACTGAATAAGTTTTAAACCTGGAAATTAAAGAACAGAATTTTGTTTTTCAGTTTGTGTTATTCAGTCAGAAATTGCTTTTCAACCTATCTTCAGTACAAAAGCTCGGCACGGCAGCTGTTTTGTGATTAATGAATTTTGTATTGATATGCAGAACGGTAAAGTCCACCAGCTCCCACACTATCAAAATATAGCAAGAACAGCTTTTGCCAAACACATCATAGACATGGTGTAATATGTACACAGTAAATGGTTTTTAAAAATACAGCAATGAAGTGTCCTGTTTTGTATTTTTGTGTGAGTGTATGAAATATTGTCTTGTGTGTTTCTTCCTTATGATGGAACGCCATTCTATGCATGGTGTCCCCTACTTTGTCCCCTTGTTGTGATATGCTCCAGGGTCCCTGCAACCCGCTCCTGGATAAGCAGTTATGGACTAGGGATGGATGGATGGATGGATGGATGGATAAATAAAATACAGGATGAAGGTTTTTGCTTTTGACACCAAAAATAAACCCAAATGATGCATAGCCTTTAGAAATAATATTACAAAATAATATTGCAAATAAGCTGGTGAATCAGATATCATTGATTAAAGCTATTGTGTAAAAATCAATGCCTCATTTTTAATTTGAACATGGTGCTTTAATGGAATTTTAAAAGCAGAAGGCAGGAATGGCAGTCCTACGTGGGCCCAGTGCTTTTTTCATTCTTGTCCAGCACTTGATGTATTATCTTTGAACAATCATTACTATCACATTACATGTTTCTTCTGACCAAACACAAATCCAGCTTTATTGCCATCCATCGGCTAAAGCGCTTTATTCAGTCTTCGGCTCACCGGCTGTGGGGTTCATCCAATCAACTGTTCAATCAAAGCTAATTAATTAAGAACTCAGCTGGAAGGAAAATCAGCCATCGAAAGCGGCTTACTAAGCGTTTACTCTGAGACACATGTAACACATAATCAAGACAGGATTATGTTTAAGAGGAGCAGTGCATTCTTTATTTAAGACCTACTAAATTCCCCAGGGAGACATACAAAACACACTTATTTTACTTTCCATTATATTTTTAATTCTTAAGACTTTGAAAACAATCCCTTTATTGCTTTTGTCTATTCATGCTAGTTTTGATTACTCATTTTACCTCACAGTTTTGATTTCTTTTTCACTGTGTCATTATGCAACAAAATTATTTCTCAGCTTTTAAAAATTATTTCAGCCCTAACCTTTATATCCTGGACGTGCTGGGATTTTACTTACCCAAGGTCTTTTAAACAGAATTTCTCAGAATTCTGCTTTATGGGAGAGAGACATCCCAGAATAAGAGTGTTTTGTGCAGTTTAAACCATTCCACACATCAATGAAGCATTTAATCACTAAGCCAATCTAAACATTTTCTTAAGCAAGAAGTCTTGCCTTTAATTTGGGGGATAATGATTCATTATTTTGCACACGCTGGCCTCAGTCCATTCTGTGATAGACAAAGAAACTCTGCCTTTGGGTTTAGTATAACCCTAACCTAGCCCTAACACATAGAGACCATAACTACTGAAAACATTCTGTAAGCTGATTCTCTTGTATAATTCTTTTGTCTAAAGAAAACCAATTATCACATGCCTCAAGAAACTAAGGTTTCCAAACTACAGATGTTAATGCCCATCATATTTTAACAATAAAATTACTCTGCACAGAGTACCTTTATGAAAAAATTAGTTATCCTACTTTAAGACTTTTAGTTGCATTTCAGTGGAAAATTGACTAAATGTACTGCAGTTTTTACTACACTGTTTGGGGCAATAAGGCATTCAGTTACCTCCAGAGAAAGAGAGAGGGTGAAGTTACCGGCTTTATCTGTTTAGATTGATACCCCCTGTTTCCAGATCTATGAAAATATATATTCTGATGCGCCCTGTTTTCTTACTTTTTTGTTGTTAACCCAACTTCCGGATTTTGTGTTTATGTATGTGTCATGCTGGCCCCAATCCTACCACATTTCCATCTGTCCCTGAAAAGGGAAATTGCTATAATAAACCATTCCACACTGCCAAGTCCTCATGGCACATGCTTCTGCTCTCCATTCTGACCCGAAACTGTTCCACACGATTTCAGACTTCTTCTTTTATGAAGGAGAGCGTATTTTCTTTAGCTTTTTTTTAGAGGGGATCTTCATGCAACAGCTTGTACACCATATTCCATTCTCCTGATCTCACATAAATTACTGCTCTCTTCAAATCACGTGAACATACATGAGCTTAAATTCTCAGCTTAAATTCTTATGCTTAAATTCTGATTTAATAGACGGTAAAGCATCCGATCAAAATAATATTTTTGCATCGTAGGAAGACCTATAAAACAAACATTTATAGAAATGGTTTGATACATAATATTTGCCCCAAGATTTTTATTTGTTTTTATTAGTTGATGGTATGGATAAGAAACATCCAGCCATTCTGACCCTGCAGGACTATGTGAATTGTGCTTACAGAATAAAAGTCAGAGGTGATAAAGAACGTAGGCATTCTTGGAAAGTTATTTCCATACGCGTGTTATGTGTGTGATGCTGTTGCCTCACATTTAAATGTTGTTATAATTTGCTATGGTAATGCCATTTATTTGCACAATCCTATAGCGAGATATATACAATAATATACACCTAATTATGTAAAGGCATGACATATGGTATGCTATTCTTCACATATATTTATATACACATAGGCTTATGTATACAGCTGTGGAAAAAATTAAAAGACCACAGCACACATTTTTGTTTCACTCATGTCTCAATTTATAGACGTGCGTCTTAGAATAATATATATTTTTGCAAACTGCAGCCTGGTTCTTCATTGTTTCTCATTAATGAAGGACTTCACCCTTGCTTTATGGGTCTTCAGTCCTGCTTCTAGGAGCCTGATACTGTCCTAGCAGTGCACTTCACACCTGCACTTAATGTCTCCCATTCCTTTTGAAGGTCACATGATGTCATCCTCGATCCATGAGGAACTATTGGATAAGTTTAACGGTCATCTCTGGCCATCTAATGTCGCTTCCACCCTCTACCTGGCTGGTTTCTGGTCATATCCAGTGTCTCTTGCTTCACATTGTTCTTCTTTACTGCTGTCTTAGAAAATGTGAACCTGGAAGCGACCTGCTGCTCTGCATAGCCTTCTTTCAGCAGAACCACAATTAAACCAGGATTTAAAAATGCAGATTTGCTTATTTATTTCCGCGGCTGTATATATCCCAAAAATAAGTGCGTACATTTGAAACTGTCTGATTCACTGTTATTTTACGGTACAGTCAAGTATCAAGTACAGTCGGAATTACACAAAACGAAAGCTTGGTGTCACTGTTTAGCTGATTTTGGACAATTTTATCGATTTGCGCATTATTAGTGTTTATGTAGGACATACGCAAGTAAACGTATTTAAAAACTGTATTAAATACTGCACGCACAGAGACATGTAAATATGTAAATGTAGGCTATATATATATATAAAGGTTTCAATTGCTTAATTTTAAAAATTAAGATTTTAAAAGGGAATTTACTTCGGCGATATTTGTCACAATCGCCTCCATTTCACTTTAATTAGTAGGGGTAAAGTGATTAATTGGATATATTTGTGTTTAAGAAAAATTAGTGAATAAAAATAATAGTTCGTGTTCAGGTGATAAGCATGAGCTGGCTGACGAACAGCCAGACCGATTAAATTTGTTTGGCTGAAATTACAGTACGAAAACAAAAGGTAAGTATATATAGGCCTACGTGCACGTGGTATTGATGGATTACATTTAGATTCTGTTCATAAAAGAGATTAAAGTGATGTCATTCTGCACGTTTGGCAGGTCTGTTAAATTGGTCAGAATAATTCCTCTGATACGGAAATCAGTGGATAGGCCTATGTTTTTACATTATCGTCTTCATTATCATCATCATCATCATCATCAACAACAACAACAACAACGATAATAATAATAATAATAATAATAACAATAATAATAATAATAATAATAATGGTTTCTGGTCAGTTTCAATTTTCCGCTTCAGCGCGGTACTTGCCAGTCGCTTTAGTTGCACTAATTTGTTCACGATCCAAACGAATTGCACTGAAAATTGTTCTGTTCTAAGAATTGATTTTATATTAGGTTACAGGCCACACATGATTCGGTAATAGAATTTATGTAGTTCAATGAAATGACAAATCAAATATATCATTTCATTTGAATATTGAACCATTGTGTTCAGGAAATACACGACAATGATGACATTGCTTCATCGCAACCTGCTTGAATTGTATTATTATTATTATTATTATTATTATTATGCTTTGTAGACCGAAATATTATGGTGAAGTTGAACATGTTATTTTTCAAGTCAATATGAAATTTACTTCAGAGCAGTTAAACACTACCGCGAGGAAAAAGTTAAGCAGTTATTGTTGTTTTCTGTATGATTCTAAAATTGGCGTTTTAAAACTCGCAGCTACTGAACATGGTAGACATGGGTTTTATATGACATTTTATATATTCAAACATGTGAGAAGCATCTAACTAAAACCGAACGTACAGCTTCTCCCCGCTGAATTTGCGGTCGCTAACAGATAATTTTGTTATTGCTTATCCTTCCATGGTGATTCCCGTCAGGAAAATGTTCTGGATGAGCAATCAGACGAACAGTTCAGTTCAGTACAATTATTCGAAACTGATGAAAATAAAGCTATTTTATTGGGAAAGCATTCAACATGATTAGATAAAGTATCATGTAGTAAATTTCAGCAAAATGAAGAAACACTGAAACTATACCACACACACAAAATATTACACTTTATATTTGGAAAAACAGGGAAAAAACTGCTATTTACAATGTTTTTATAGACTGCATATTAAATCAATCTATTTAATATTACATGCACTCGCATATAATCGGACATCATAATCCAACGTATTTCAATAATTAACCCTTAATTAATAACATGAAAAAATATCCAATTAAATGCACCTACACTTTATTTATTTTCTGTAAATATAAAATACAACTTACATCTACATACATAATTAGCATCTCATTTATTCCCAAAGTAAGTGCTTAGTTTTTTCTCATGGTCAAAATGCTTTTGCATATGCTGAAAACATGAGATTTGAGGGGGAAAAAAAACCCAATATCCTTTTGAAATGAAGAAAAGACTGTGACTCCATTTAAACAATAATCCCATTTTGATAGTAGCGGCGAATAATGTCATTGAATGAGCATTTCCACAAAAAAAGCTAGTTGTGAGACGTCATGTGTCGCGAGAGGTGATGCCGCTCCCTGAACGACTCGTTGCAGATGGGACACTTCAGCTTCTCCTCTCGCCGTCGCTTTATCAGGGGCTCCAAGGCGTATTCTTTTTTGTGGTGGGACCTCATGTGGTAAACCAGGTCAGAGGTCATGCGGAAAGAAGCGTTACATTTGGCACACCAGTTCTGGGCAGGGAGGCAGAGCGAGGTGAAGGAGGGAGGGAGGAGAGTGAGCGCAGAAGCCATCTGCAGCTGGATAGGTCCAGAGGTCTTTGGCCAAAACGCTGTTGCATAAAGAAAGGGGCTCTGTTTGGGGATACCAGCTGGAACCGGACAATTGCTGCCTAGCTCAGAGCTCTGGAGCTTAGCAGTCAGGTGTTCAGGCTGGTAAAGTCTGCTGGAGGAGATGGTGTCCTGAATGGTTGGGTGACAGTCCACAGGGGGGAGAAGCTTCGGTGTCATGACCAGGGGCGATAACTGTGAAAAGGACCGGGCCGGCTGGCTGAAAGCACTCTTCCTCTCCGAGCTGCCGATGGGCTGAGACACAGAGGTGAAGGCGCTGGCCAGTGAGGAGCTCTCAATGCGGCACTGAGGCTGCGTCTCCATCAAGACCTGCCTCATGTTCAGCTGCTTCTCCAACGGGCCACTGCTTGGCCTTCCACTGCCCTTGTTCTCGGTGTTGGAGCTCAGGTTCTTGGCACTGTGTTTGAGGCTCTGCAGTGCCTTCTTGACCTCGGTGAAAGCACTCCTTTTGATTTCTGGAGTTTCAAGGTTGGAGTGAGAAAATGCCTGCCTGTTCCCTTCCAAAGCATATGCCCCTAGGTACTGCTGTGCCGAGTTCACTAAATCTTCCTTTGACTTGAAAGGCTGCGACAAGCTTCCATTCCTGTTCTCCTCTACATCAGAAAATTTCCTCTTGTTGTTGCTCTCGCTCCTAATTTCAGCATCTTTACCGTGTGTCGGACTGGTCCTGTTGTTTTCAAGATCCCTGGCTAAGTTGTGGAAGTCCATGGAAGGTTTTCCATCCTGTGAGGTAATGGAGACCTCTGACCTGGCCAACTTGGGGCTAGACCTTGCAAGAGCCATGTTAGCTTGCTCACAGTTATGTTTGGAGTCCTCATTTAGGCTGTGGATGCTTTGTAGTCTTTTGGCGCAACAAAATCTCAGATGAGCCAGGAAGGGAAACTCAAACTGGAATCGCTGGTTGCAGTCTGTGCACACAAATGGAGGAGATCCTAAAATACAGATGACATATACAGTAGGTTATTTCTACAGAAAATACATTGTGTCGATGAAACAAAAAAACAATTCAAACACTGACAACATTGTTGGCATGGCAGATACAATTAATATGGAATTTATTTGTTCATCAGTTCTGTATGTATAAAATTGCTTGCACTTTTTTGCTGTAATAATTGTGCACCTGTTGTAAATCGAGCTAATGTTTAATCTGATTAAGGTTTTGTTTGGAATGCTTTTCGTGTTTAAGAAAGGCCATTTAGTTTTAACTACATTTTTTAGTAGTCAATTTAGATAATTAAGTAAATAATTTCTTCAAGCGTCAGGAATTGTAGCTAATTTTAGTAAAATCATTGCTTCTATTGTAATAACATTAAACATTAATGTACAGAAAATCTGTACATTTCACCTATAATGTCCATGTTGCCTATTGAGAGGTGTAAAATTAAAACAGATTCATTTGTAAGGTTTATTTACAAGATATAATTGAGAAATGTGCTGCTACCTCTTTCACCCTACCTTTGTTCTTTGCTTGAGCTCTGCTAAAACTGAGCAGCAGGAGATCGATCAGGTCTTTCCCGTACCACACCAGTAACTCATCATCTTTCTCAATTCGCTTCAGGGATCTATAGAACAGCTGACCGTTCTTCACATAGGCCTCGAGGTTTTGCTCCTCCTTATCCCTGGCAGACTGGACCAACCGTAACCACATGAGACCATCAGAGGAGCAGCTGGTTGTCGAAGTGTCCACCTGCACAAAGCAGTCATTAGACCGATGTCGTCATCATCATCATCATCATCTGTTGTGATTCCAGTAGAACCTCACTCAGTCATGAAGGAGAGCACTTCATTTCAGTTAATCTACATGCACACAGATATATAGTATGATTTATTAGGTATGAAGTATTTTCTAAATGACTTCAAATATATGACTAACAACAACAATAATAATGCATACATTGTATAATGATTTTAGTAATTTATATTTTAATAAATTCTCACCCTAAAAATGTAAGGCGCAGTTCGCTTGTCCGTAGATTTGAGCGCAATAAAAGCGATACTGTCGTACAACGAAGTGTGGCTCAAAACGCAAGGTCCAAAAATGGCATTTTCTGGCACGTCGCAAGTCGTGTACACGCTGGTTAAAATATCCGTGAGACACTGCTGGACTACCTTGGCATCTCCATCCCACACCAGTTTCTGTGTTGTGGATTCCTCCATTATTGCCTCCTAGGAGATTAAGTAAATAACCATTCGAACGTAAGAAATCTCAGTGTCAAAAGAACAGTTTACGTAATTTTTCGGCATTCTAAAAAGTCGAAGATCTTAATTCACACATTTTCCCCTTAATGTTCAAGTCATGTGTATTAAGCCATAGATATTTACAACTGTGATCAAGGCGATTATTATGGTAATAATGATAATTATTATTAGTAGTAGTAATAATAGTAGTAGTGCTGGTAGTTGAAGTAGTAGTAAGAGCAGTAGTAGCATTACTACTAGTAGTAATAGTACCAGTAATAACACCACAAGGCTACAAGGTTTTTGTCCGTAGTATCCGCGACTTGCATTTAATATCGCATTACAATTTAAGCGTGTGGCCACTTGGGTTTTATTTATTGGAATATAACACTGTCTGAGGACATGAAAATAATAAGCAAATAAACCGAGGCCGCTCGCAAAGCATATCGAATGGATTTCAAACGGACTGTCAGAGTCACTGATCTCATGACAGCTAACCTTTAACTCCACTATACAGGACGGAGCGTATGTCTCCTCATTACCATAATCCACCGCTTTCCCTCTGAGACCTTAATTAAAGCAGCACGCCTATCAGTGGGTTAAAGGCAAACGAAATGTAATATAATCTCTAAGCGATATATACGAATTAGCCAATAGGCCTAGGTAAAATAACGCGTCGGCTATGAGGTTTAATGTTCCAGCAACATAAAACCTAAAATACATAACAAAATTAACGTATAGCCGAAGTACCCACAATGTTATTTCACTATAGTAAAAATAAATATCAGTGTTTACCGTATTTTAAATGAATTACAAGTATTTAATATCAGTAAATAATTTCTTACATATCATTAAATATTTTTCAAACTCAAAAGAGAGATGTCAACACGTCAAGTTTAACTTCGTTAAGTTTTGAACGGATCAAGCGCCAATTTATGCAAGTGCGTACGCTGTCGTGTAAGATATGCATGTCAAAGACGAAATACTTGCACAAAATAAAAATATATTATTTGTGTATTTACAAAATTATATAGTGATTATATAGAATAAATGGATTTATAATAAAAACAAATACAATAATTTATATTATCAATCGCTTAATTTTGGAAACTGTACCTTCTATGTCAGTTTTTTGTAGTACAAAACTAGTGGTATTACCAAAATATTATGTAAATACGCCCCAGGTAAAATAAGCACTATTTAGAACACATCAGAGTCGTCATTTTGCAAAGAATGACAAAAAAATATACTAACATGTTATACCTAATGTATTTGGAAAAGTTGTACATGTTCTTCTTTTTTCCTTCTTTCGTAGAAAGGTCGCGATATCACTGGGAAAAACCAGACGAAAGGTCCAATAAATATGTATTTTATCCAAACGAGATTATTGGACTCTTTCCTATCTATAAAAAATGTCACATTCATATCCTATACATATACTAAACTTATATAATCAATTATTTAAGTTGATATTTATTTTAATGCGGTTCCGAGCCTAGTTGTAACTAAAAATATAGAGTGTAAAGTTTTGACTATAATTGTATTTTGTATATTTCTCAGAGCACAAAATAATAGTTGCGATTGACATGTGTGACACCTCTTACTACAGAGCAGTCCTCAATTAAGGCGAAGGCTACTCACCGTTTTGTTGAAAGCAATACAATCCGCAATGTTTGAATGATATGCCTGAAAAGCTAAATCGTATCGTTTTTTCTATCCGTTTACTCAGTACATCTTGCGAGTTGAAAATTACAGCGCCTGCGTTCGCCCATCCGTTCTGGGACGCAGGACAGTGCAGATGGACTCGGTGTACTGGCTGCCTGGCACACAGATACACACTTTTTGTTAGCTTCGCATCATTTGCCCAATGAGGCGCGTCAGTGTCTGTCTCCTCCCTTTAACTCTTTCCAAGCCGACTGCCATTTGGTGAAATTTTACCTGCAACTTGCGAAATTGCTTCGCAAAAGGTATCAAAACGGCAACTTACTGAGCTGAAGACCAGCAGTTTGAGGTTTGTGAAATGTCCTCCAAATTTGATTGAATTTTTTAGTCGTTTTAATAAATTAATTGACAACTGTTTTATGTATGATTTTTCAAAGTTTGATAAATTATCTACTGTAGATCCAATATGAAATTTCCTAATGCATTTTTACCCCGTATAAATAGTTGTGCGCATGTGCGCTGCTACATCGTAAAGATCAAGTAACACATCAATGCAAAAAAAAAAAAAAAGTTCAGTTAAATTATGTTGGACATGAACATACTGTAGTTATGACTTCCATGACATAATCTCAATAAAGAATTTTTTTGAATGCGGTCAGAAATCCACTCGGATACGGTCAGAAAATCATAACGTACTCATGTAGTCATTTCCTTACATGATTTACTGCCTCTGAAGCTTCAGAATCATCTGGAATCTTCTGATTGGCCCCAGTATTACTTGAACACTGGGTACTTCACATGCAGAGCTTTCTGTTGTTTTTCACATCACAGAAAATAAGGTAAATTGCATCTCTCTTCCAACTGTCTGACATATTGTCGCAGAAGCATAGAATAAGTATCAAAAACCTCTTTCTAAGACATTATGAACACACAAGGTCTCAGAAGTGCTGGTTTCATGGCAACCAGAATCCTAACAGTACTGGTCATTACTTTGTAATTACATTGTAATTACCCTGCAGCAATTAAGTAGTAGTCATAATCCCATTGATTAATACTTTGACTGCCTGCTATGTGCAAATAATTTGGTCTCAGTCTAACTGGCTTTAATTATCAATGCAATTGCATAAAACACATAGCAGTTTATAATAATAAATAGTAAGCAAATATAATTATGTAAACATAAGCTATATTGAATATAATGTAAACTGTGCCATTTTTTTTTGTTCTGGAATGAACAAGAGAAGCAGCAGGTGATAAAACCAGCCTACTTTTATAATGAATGACATACAAGATCAAAAATGTCAAAGATGCCATGTGTAAAAGTTGCTTATTTTTAATCCTCATTCATGGAAGGTAAGAAATCTGGAATGAGTCTCTTTTAATGTATTTTATCCCAGATGCATTTTTATTCATATATATACAACATAAAGTGTCAGTTGAGAATGGTGGAAACCAAAATGGAACCACTATGCTTGATTCTTTTATTTAGTCACATAAAATCAGTGAAGTTGTAAAGGAAAAGTGTAAATATACTTGTGTCTATAAAACAACATCCTCCCTGCGTGTGTGTGTGTGTGTGTGTGTGTGTCTGTCCCCATCCCTCTGCTGCCCAGCACAGAATGAGGATAGGATAATTTCCTATAGAGCAGTAAGTTCCTCGCAAAGCTTTTTAGGCAAAGCAGACTCACCACTGCGTATGACGACCATCAGTCATCCTTTCCAAGCCTGATCACTGCATTAAGATGCATGGCAGCATATAACTGACTTTTTAGAATAACCATCAAACTATTTTTTTATTGAATGCATTTGTTTACTTTCATGAGACATATATTTTATTTCATAGTTGAGACACAAATATAATTATGATTTTGGCTGATTTAGCAGATAAGCAATACAAATACAATTAAATGGCTATTTCAGTTTGATATTGGTTTTACTTTGGATGAAACTACTTGTTTTTTCTGAGAATGATTTCAGCATGTTTGGTAATATTTTTAACTTTTCATTGCTGTTATTCAGTATAATAACGTAATTTAGATTGGGGCCAAACTATAGGGAGCTTTTACAGAAAACATCTTGCAGCATAAATAAGAAATCATACTGTGCCTTTAGAATTTTCCAGAATTAAATTAATGTATATATTTATTATTGGTAAAGACATTGTGTGCTACTTTCCACATTTCAATGGAATTATGGGGGAGAGCAAAGGAGATGTGGTTTATTGATATCTGTGTTTTCATTTATCTCTGGCATTCCATAGAAGCATACTTCTGTGTTGCTTTAATATATTGTGTTCCGCATCAGAAGTGCATGTAGTTGAGTTTAATTCTGCAGATTGGTTCTGCAAACCGTTACCTACGTTGTGATAATTACCAAGTCTTTCATAAAACGCACAGTAACAACCTTTTCTGGCCATTTTCATTTTGCTGCATCTTCCGGGACCTTCCTCTTTTGGCTTATATGGAATCATTCACCATCTGAATCACAGACTGCATTTTAGGGAATCAAGGCCCTTGGGCTGGAGGATCACCTGTAAAGCAAACAAAAAAAAGAAACTGAAAAAAGTTTATTCTGCTCTCCATTTATGAAGTTTAACCTTTATTTTACCTTATTTCTTACCTTTTTATATTTTACATAAATGTATTTCTTCAGTTGAAAATAAAAGCTCATTCAAAATTGTGGTTGTGCATGACCACTTAACTCAAATCTGATAGATCAGAGGTGTTATTTTTATACCAGCCTCATGTATTGGCTGTTTGCAAATCATGTGCACTGATGTAAAGATCTGTCCTTGTATTTTTTTTTAATTAGCTGTATAATTAGGCACAACACCAGAAAAAAGACTTCTTTAAAGAACCATATAAAGATTTTAAAAACATGTAACTTATGCATATATAATATGTGAATATTAATTTATCATTTATGCACTTAGTTATTTGCTTGTTTGTTTGATTGTTTTTTAATCATATGATGACTCCATGAATATAGTTTATAAAACGATCAATCCATCTTCAAAGCACTTATTTTGGTCAGGGGTTATACATTTTGTATAATATTATAATTACTTTTTAAGATATATATTCAGTGTACTTGATGTACCACATGATGTATTAGGAAAATACAAATTGAAAAGTCTACAAAGACTACCAGCTGAAGTGCTACTAACACACAAAATAGCTATACAATTGCATTTATTGTGTACAGTAAGGTTGTATTGTATAACTACTAAGAATATATGTATTACTGGCCCTGATTAAGTTTGATTACTGGTAGGTCATGTAAATTTGTCATGGTTATTTTCAAAGTTATATATATATATTATGGTATTCCAAAGAATGTATGTTAAATGAATTATATTTGTAAACACAAAATATCCAACAATAACAAAAATATTTTTTGACACTGGAATTTCAGTCTACAACAGGCTGGAGGGTTCACTGTGTTAACCGATATTGGGTGTAAGAATTTGGTGCATTGAGAATATAACTGAAACCAACGGTTCCTTTGAGACTTAGTGTTTGATAGAAAATTAAAATTTACATGAATTTACATTTATTCTCACAGGCATCATACTTTGCAGCTAATATTATTATAAAAATATATTGGGTTTCACTTCAGTGTGCAAATATCAATGGTTTATGTATGTAGATGGTCATGCAGATAAACAGTGTAACTTACGAAATGTAAAATTTGTGAAGGATGGTATTTACTCTGCATTGAAATGGCATTGCATGGATGAAATGGATTTTGGAACTGAGTTCATTTGAGTATGGAAGTGTCTTCGGGTACCATGAATTTCTGTTATCTTCTAAAACTAAACAGTGATAATCTTCAATAAGTGAAAGCATTATTTTTACAGTGTATTATTTGTACATTTAGTTGAGGACAGATCAGCTGAAATTATAGCATCAAGTGAAGGATAGAAAAGGAGAGGAAAGGCAGTATGTTACATTTGTTCGTCTTGCTGCAGTTTAAATAACTCTCTGAATTCGCTGCTACTACTCACAGTGCATATTAAATTAAGTTACTGCAACATATTTGCATGCAATAGTCCTTCTGGAAAGACAAGGAAAGAACAAATTAATAAGAAGCCACTTTTATATCAGATCCAGCAATTATACAAATGGAAACAACAGCCAAAAATATTCTGTATGGCATATGGCACTTTATCTGCCATATGTGCTGGTTTTCACAAAATTACCACCAAGGAACATGATGGTCACTTGTAACTGCCAATAACACAGCGAGGGCCGTGCAGAAATGCTTCACTGCATAGATGTCTCGCCACAGATAATGGTGTGCAATCAAAAAGTGCAGATTTCACGGCGATAACACAGGCTCACACAACGTCTGCACACCCCAAGTAACCCCTTACGGTCAATATCAGAACCTAACTTTATAGTCTTCTCTGAAGGGGAAATTGAAATTCCCAATAACCAAAATGCAATATTGTTTTGGCTGACGAATGCCTCCGAGCCATGATTTTAAAAAAGAAAAACAATTCATCTTTGTTTATAATGGTTTATGAAGGAAAAGCTACTTTACGCACATACACTTCCTCTTTTATAATTTCTTTCTTGATCATTACAAAAAAAAATCCAGAGACTATGACCTTTATTTTCAGTTGACTGACACAAAACATTTGAGATCAGAGAAATTTGATACATGTGTTCTACCACTGTGATCCGCTGCCAATGGCGCTGAATAATGTAAACATTCTGCGATCGTACCTTGATCCAGTGAACCCCCCAGGTTGTACAGTGTACAGAGCACTGTGGATCACGGCAGACTCCCGTAACCTGGCTGTCAGACTAGCTCAGGATCTAAAATTGAGCTGAGTTACCATGGCGAGGCTTAATGCTCCAGGTCTTTCTGCCCATGGTGCATCTGCTCCTTCTCTGAGGAGGATGGAGAACGTTGGATTGGAAGGACCAAGGCTGCTCAGGCTGCCTGGGGAAGCATCAGAAAGGATGCTGAACTGTGCATGCCCTGCTGCCATCTTACTCTCACAGCAGCATGTAAGCCTGACTTAAGAGTAATTCCTATGTATTACTGCTGAAGTATTTAATTAAACTGCCTGTTTAATTTTTGTGAAGACACATATAATTAGCAATAAGGAACATATGCACATATGCAGATTTTTTTGTTAGTTTATTGATTCAATTCAAT